GCAAATGATGACAGAACATTCATGTTCTGCGTGAACGATCCCTCTAATATACAAAAGGCCAAAAAGTGCATTCTGGTTTCTGAAAGCATTGCAGATCACTGTTAAAAGATATCTCAGGAGATCGTCCCATTGATAGACAGAGATTAATCTGCTTTCTTTTCATACTCCTTCCTTCTGAGCCATGTTTTCCCCGAACACACTGCAATAAATATTGAGTTTTTGTCTCGTTTCTAGTACAAATATCTGAAAACTCTTAAATAAAGACGCATTTTCTTATCATTTTGTCTTGTTTTTTTAGAAATAATGAGTCAAAATTAAGTGAGTTTTACCTTAAAAAAAGCCAAATATTCTCATTTTAAACCAAAAACAGGATTATTTTGCTTGTTTTAAGGAACAACTCACTTCATTTTGACTCATTACCTCTAAAAAAACAACTTAATTTCTACTTTTTTAGAAAAGGCTTCTTGATTTAAGAGTTTTTGGATATTTGGACTAGAGACAAGGCACAATCTAAGTAAGAGAAGCGTTTATTGCAGTGAATATGGAGCGTTGCCTCTTTTGTTTTGCTGTAGTGCCGTATTTAATGGTAAATTCTGCTGGGTTCATATTTCAGTTGTGATATTTGGTTGACGTGACTTTATCCTCAGGCTTTGAAACTTCTTCTCGCAGTGTTTGACATGTGCTGTAAATATTATTATGGTGAGAATGTAGAGGTCGGTTTGATAGTGGTTTCACTCTGCTCTCGTCCTCAACTTTGGTCTGTTTCAATCCCACAAACTCTGAAAAACACCACAATTTTACATTTTCCTTGGTCTGCACTGCAGAAATAAAAGAGTTTGTGTCTCATTACTAGTCCAAATGTCTAAAAATCCTTAAATCAGGAAGTATTTTATGGACAAGCAATAAATATAGTGTTGTTTTCAGAAATAATGAGTCAAAATGAAGTGAGTTTTTCCTTAAAAAAAAAGCAAAATAATCTGCTTTTTACTTTGAAATATGATTATTTTGCTTGTTTTAAGGAAAAACTCACTTTAAAAAGCTCTAAACCATACAAATGCAACTTAAACGAATACAAATAAATATTATGAGGCATTTAGGCAATAATGTGTGCCAAAATATCTCGTTTTTACAAATAATACATCAAAACAAAGCGAGTTTTTCTCTAAAACAAGCCAAATAATCTCGTTTTTGCATTTAAATAAGGATATTTAGCATTTCCCATTGGCAGATTCTCTATTAATATGCTTAATTTTCTCATATATTTTTCACTTTTCTAATAAAATGCTTCTTGATTTAGGAATATTCAGATATTTTGACTGTAGGAGACATGTTTTTGCAAGAGCGGACCGTATCTGTACATACTGTAGTTTACCGATATGTTTGTTAGGGCTGAAGAGCATCTCTGCCATGTAACTGAGTATCCTGTTCTACCTTATAAATGTGATTAAGTTGGAGTTTACGTGATGCATCATTATGAATTCTGTCCTCAGAGAATGCTTGGTAATGGATCGCTGTATAATCTTCCAGCTCTACAGGAATGTTTGCTGCTGCCGCTGCTGCTGATGGCCAATCTATACCTTTTGTAAATGGGGAAAAGAGCCTCTTGTAGTCTTTCTGGCTCCCGCATTTCTGTTCGTTAAACTCCAACGCTCGTTTTTTCTAAAGGACTCAGAAATGCACCGAAATCTTGGGAATCTCATGCTTTTGATGTCGAACTGCCATTGTGAAATTAAAGCGTTTGCTATCTATTGGGAATCCAGCTTCAATTCAATTCATCATTATTTCTCTAGCGCTTTACCGAGTGTGTCAAAGCAGATTAACACTGAAGTTCTAGTAAACTGAAACCATGTCAGTCCAGTTTTCAGAGTTCAGATTAGTTGAGTGTGGTTTGAGTTTCACCGCTGAGAGTTCAAACACTGAAGAGCAAATCCATCAATGCGCAGCTCCACAAATCCCAAACCAAGCGAGCCAGTGGCGACAGTGGAGGAACAAACTTCACCAGTTGACCAAAGTGAAGGAAAGTTTCTCGAGATAAACCAGGCTCAGTTGGGACCACTTCTCCTCTGGCCAAACTTCGTGTGCAGAGCTGCAGTCTAGGTGCCGGAGGCTGGAGAATGCTGGACGTCCATCGTGGAGAAGCTGCAGGAGTGAGTAGGTCACCGGCGGGTGTTCAGGCTGAGCCTTCAGGACAGGCTGAGTCTAAACTCTAAACTCTTGCCACCCTTATATGATTTCATTCATTTTCTTGTCGGCTTAGTCCCTTTATTAATCCGGGGTCGCCACAGCGGAATGAACCGCCAACTTATCCACCAAGTTTTTACGCTGCGGATGCCCTTCCAGCTGCAACCCATCTCTGGGAAACATCCACACACACATTCACACACACTCATACACTACGGACAATTTAGCCTACCCAATTCACCTGTACCGCATGGAGGAAACCCACACGAAGGCAGGGAGAACATGCAAACTCCACACAGAAACGCCAACTGAGCCGAGGTTCGAATCAGCGACCCAGCAACCTTCTTGCTGTGAGGTGACAGCACTACCTACTGCGCCACTGCCTCGCCTCACAGTATTTCAATAAAGAAATAAATAAATAATTAATTAATAAAATGCGGTTACTGAATTATTGTTTGATCAGCGCCACCGATGTGACTGATTGACTGAGATTGCACACTTTTCATTAAGAAATTATTATTTTTAAAATGAAACAGTTATAATAATATTAATATTAATAATAGAAATAAAAAAATAAATAAATGCATTTTGAAATCAGCTTTTCAGAATCTATTTGTTTAGCAATTTTGCTGGTTGACTTAAAAGGGCCATAAATCTCAATCATTTTGCAGGTGTATTTTGCAAAAAGGTACCTCAAAAGAAGAATACTGTATGTATTTATTATATATATATATATATATATATTGTGGCTCAAAAAAAGAGCATGGATGAATGATAGTATTAGGCTCTGTAAGTGTGTGTGTGTGTGTGTGTGTGTAGTAATGTCTTTTGTTCAGTTTGTTCATTTGTTTGTTTTATTAATTTTAGACATGGCATATACTGTATTCTGTACAACAAAAGTATGTGGAAAATAACTCACCCGAAAGGTTTTTTTAAAGTAGGCTAAATAGTGATTGTTATTTGGTTTGCGCATGTATTTGCTGAATTATTTCAAGGAATAAATTGCAATATTTCAAGAGTAAATAATGGAATTAATTAAAACTTCATTATTTCATTTATCAGAAACAAAAGTATAACATTACTTATTATTCACAATATGTACACAATTCATTATTGTTTTGTGCGCCACCCCGAGATTTGGTGTTGCTTTACTTGGCCACCCCTAAGAACAAATTCTGGGGGCGTCACTGCTTCAGGATCAATGCAGAGAGTTCGCGGCATTGATAGACAGAGATTAATTTGCTTTCTTTTTATTTTCTGTCCTGCTGAGTTATGTTTTTCCCCCTACATGTATGTAAATATCTACAAACTCTTAAATCAAGAAGCATTTTCTTATCATATTCTCATGTTTTAGGAAATAATGAGTCAAAATGAAGCAAGTTTTTTCCTAAAAACAAGCAAAATATTCTTTTTTTTAAACCAAAAACAGGATTATTTTGCTTGTTTTAAGAAACAACTCACTTCATTTTGACTCATTACCTCTAAAAAAACAACTTAATGTCTACTTTTTTAGAAAAGGCTTCTTGATTTAAGAGTTTTTGGATATTTGGACTAGAGACAAGGCACAATTAAGTGAGAGAAGCGTTTATTGCAGTGAATATGGAGCGGTTGCCTCTTTTGTTTTGCTGTAGTGCCGTATTTAATGGTAAATTCTGCTGGGTTCATATTTCAGTTGTGATATTTGGTTGACGTGACTTTATCCTCAGGCTTTGAAACTTCTTCTCGCAGTGTTTGACATGTGCTGTAAATATTATTATGGTGAGAATGTAGAGGTCGGTTTGATAGTGGTTTCACTCTGCTCTCGTCCTCAACTTTGGTCTGTTTCATTCCCACAAACTCTGAAAAACACCACAATTTTACATTTTCCTTGGTCTGCACTGCAGAAATAAAAGAGTTTGTGTCTCATTACTAGTCCAAATATCTAAAAATCCTTAAATCAGGAAACATTTTCTGGACAAGCAATAAATATAGTCTTGTTTTCAGAAATAATGAGTCAAAATTAAGTGAGTTTTTCCCTAAAAAAAAGCAAAATATTCTTATTTCAAACCGAAAACAGGATAATTTTGCTTGTTTTAATGAAAAACTCGCTTCATTTTGACTCATTACTTCAAAAACAACTCAACAATGTCTACTTTTCTAAATCACAACTTCTTAAATCCTAAAGAAAACCAAAATCTCTTAAATCCAGAAGCAATTTCTGGACAAGCAAAACGTATAGTCTTGCTTTCAGAAATATTAAGTCAAAATTAAGTGAGTTTTTCCTTAAAACAAGCAAAATAATCTACGTTTCACATTGAAATAAGGTTGTTTTGCTTGTTTTAAGGAAAAACTCACTTAAAATTTTGCAAAAATCTCTGTCATAAAAAATAAAACTATTGTTTGAACAATCGCTGAAACCAAAACCATACAAATGCAACATAAACGAACACAAATAAATATTATGAGAAATTAAGACGTTATAATGTGTGCAAAACAGAAATAATGAGTCAAAACAAAGCGAGTTGTGCAGTGGAATATAAATAAATATTTTTTTTATAAAATAAAATAGTATTTTATTAAAGCCTACCCTCAACCAACCCGGAAAATACAGTAAAAATATGTTTATTTATGTTTATTTGTTTATTTTTTATTTGTTTATTTATTTATGTTTATTATGTTTATTTTTTATTAATATGTTATACAGCGTCAAAAATACTTTAATGATGTGAGTATCCGCGGCTGCAACCCTTCTAGACTTTACACACCTTTATGTGGACTGTGGGGGGCTTTTATTCTGAAATGTAAAGGACGGGACTTTTATTTTGAACGTGCTGTTCCCTCCTATCTGTTTACACGCTAACAACAGTGTGCTCAGTTATTTTTGTTGAGGTAACTTATGTTTCATATTTTTATAGATCAAATATACAATATCTCTACAGGATGTTCGCTAATTTTGTCGAGAGTATCACTCAACCTGACCGCATTCATTCATTAGCTTAAGTTAACTCTTAGCAGAAACGTTAGCATTAGTGTTTAACCCATCAGAAAATACTATCTAAAAGCACAACACAATGGCTCAGGGTTACCGCAGAGATCACAATCATCGTCATGAGTCGGGTTATAAGAGACCCAGTGACCCGGGCGGTGATCTGCCGAGCGATAAACGACACCGACCGCCGCCCGCTGAAGGCCGGACTCTGAGCGCTGACCGCCGGCTATACGAGAGACATTTCCCGCTGTACAAGCAGCCGCTGGAGGTGGGCTGTTTTTCGCTGGACGCCCGCAGAAACTTCTTTAACGACCACAGGCAGCTACGGTATTATGTGGAGCCCCGGAGGAGCCCGGACTTTAACCTCAGAGACGGATACACGAGCCGGTTTATAAAGAGAGACGATGGCGTGAAGGAGAAGCTGGACCACATGCTGAGGTGGATCCTGGAGAACAGACACAAGATGCAGAACAGCAACTCCAGCAGCTGGTAAAGATAATTCCCTGTAGCTACACCATGAAGAAATTCTGTTTATTTTGTGTATTATAGTTACCCACATGAAAAAGCACTATAGTGATTGATTTGTAGTGTATAACGTTAGTAACGTTACTAACTTATTTTGTACACTCACCGGCCACTTTATTAGGAACTAGTATCGGGTTGGACCACTTTTGCCTTCAGAACTGCCTTAATCCCTCGTGGCATAGATTCAACAAGGGACTGGAAATATTCCTCAGAGATTTTGCTCCATATTGTCATGATAGCATCACACAGTTGCTGCAGATTTGTCGGCTGCACATCCATGATGCCAATCTCCCGTTCCACCACATCCCAAAGCTGCTTAATTGGATTGAGAGCTGGTGACTGTGGAGGCCATTTGAGTACAGTGAACTCATTGTCATGTTCAAGAAACCAGTCTGAGATGATTGAGCTTTATGACATGCTGCGTTATCCTGCTGGAAGTAGCCATCAGAAGATGGAGACACTGTGCTCATAAAGGGATGGACATGGTCAGCAGCAATACTCAGGTAGGCTGTGGCGCTGATGCTCAATTGGTACTAACGAGCCCAAAGTGTGCCAAGAAAATCTCCCCCACACCATTACACCACCACCACCAGCCTGAACCGCTGATACAAGGCAGGATGATCCATGCTTTCATGTTGTTGACAGCAAATTCTGAGCCGAGCATCCGAATGTGTCAGCAGAAATGGAGACTCATCAGAGCAGGCAACGTTTCTCCAATCTTCTATTGTCCAGTTTTGGTGAGTCTGTGTGAATTGTAGCCTCAGTTTCCTGTTCTTAGCTGACAGGAGCGGCACCCGGTGTGGTCTTCTGCTGCTGTAGCCCATCTGCCTCAAGGTTGGCCGTGTTGTGTGTTCAGAGATGCTCTTCTGCAGAGCTCGGTTGTAACGAGTGCTTATTTGACTTACTGTTGCCTTTCTATCAGCTAGTACCAGTTTGGCCATTCTCCTCTGGCCTCATCAACAAGACATTTGCGCCCACAGAACTGTCAATATGGAGCAAAATCTCTGAGGAATATTTCCAGTACCTTGTTGAATATACGCCACGAAGGATTAAGGCAGTTCTGAAGGTAAAAGTGGGTCCAATCCGGGACTGGAAATGTGTACCTAATAAAGTGGCCAGTGAGTGTATATTATGTTCAAAAATCTTTATTTTGTATGTGATTAATCTTTGCTCAGCACTAATATAATAATAATGCAATAAAGTTTATAAAACTTGAAGAATGCACACTTATATAGCTTTTCTCCAGTCTACTGCACTGAAGAATTTTATTCTTTTTAATCATCATAATGTCACTGTCAAGAAAAAAAAACTAAAACAACTGCTAAATGAAGTAAAGGAGATATGCAAAAGTCTATTTTAACTTGTTTTAATTAAATTAAAACTGAAACTATAATAAAAGCAGAGTTATGTTGTGTTTGCAGTGCTCTGGGCGTGGATTTCGTCACATGGAGAGGACACCTGACCAAAGTGCTGACCACCCCGTACGAGACCCAGGAGGGCTGGATGATGGCGGCCTGCAAGTTTAGAGGCAGCATCTACATCAGCGAGGTGGAGACGGAGCAGGCGAGAGAGAACCGAGAAACACGCTCCGAGCGGCAGGAGGAGATGATGTACTGGGGATATAAGTTTGAGCAGTACACATGCGCAGGTGAATACACCACCCACTCTTCTGGACTATATGCATGTGTTTTTAAAGACCTGCAGAATGAAGCCCGACACAAAGTGCAGAAAACTGAAGAGTTTATTCTGTGAAAACCAACATCCTTGATGTACTTTATCCTGGTTATTACATGGCTACTTGCCACAAAACATACAAATTAGGCACAAAACATTATTAGTTGTCTTATTAGTTCTTTAATTAAAAGGAAAGCTGACAGAAACGAAAACAGCTGATGGAGTATACACTAACCTGCGCATTATTTAGACACTAGATGGAGACAAACAGTCAAAAACACAACAGAAACTAAAACAGCTGATGGAGTATACACTAACCTGTGCATTATTCAGACACTAGATGAAGACAAACAGTCAAAAACACCAAGCTGACAGAAACGAAAACAGCTGATGGAGTATACACTAACCTGTGCATTGTTCAGACACAAGATGGCGCCAAACAGTCCAAAACACAAAGCTGACAGTAACTAAAACAGCTGATGGAGTATACACTAACCTGCGCATTATTCAGACACTAGATGGAGAGAAACAGTCAAAAACACAACAGAAACTAAAACAGCTGATGGAGTATACACTAACCTGAGCATTATTCAGACACTAGATGGCGCCAAACAGTCAAAAACACAACAGAAACTAAAACAGCTGATGGAGTATACACTAACCTGCGCATTATTCAGACACTAGATGGCGCCAAACAGTCAAAAACGCAACAGAAACTAAAACAGCTGATGGAGTATACACTAACCTGCACATTATTCAGACACTAGATAGCGCCAAACAGTCAAAAACGCAACAGAAACTAAAACAGCTGATGGAGTATACACTAACCTGCACATTATTCAGACACTAGATAGCGCCAAACAGTCAAAAACGCAACAGAAACTACAACAGCTGATGGAGTATACACTAACCTGCGCATTATTCAGACACTAGATGAAGACAAACAGCCAAAAACACAACAGAAACTAAAACAGCTGATGGAGTATACACTAACCTGCACATTATTCAGACACTAGATGGAGACAAACAGCCAAAAACACAACAGAAACTAAAACAGCTGATGGAGTATACAATAACCTGCGCATTATTCAGACACTAGATGGAGACAAACAGTCAAAAACACAACAGAAACTAAAACAGCTGATGGAGTATACACTAACCTGTGCATTATTCAAACACTAGATGGAGACAAACAGCCAAAAACACAACAGTAACTAAAACAGCTGATGGAGTATACACTAACCTGCGCATTATTCAGACACTAGATGAAGACAAACAGCCAAAAACACAACAGAAACTAAAACAGCTGATGGAGTATACACTAACCTGTGCATTATTCAAACACTAGATGAAGACAAACAGCCAAAAACACAACAGAAACTAAAACAGCTGATGGAGTATACACTAACCTGCGCATTATTCAGACACTAGATGGAGACAAACAGTCAAAAACACAACAGTAACTAAAACAGCTGATGGAGTATACACTAACCTGTGCATTATTCAAACACTAGATGGAGACAAACAGTCAAAAACACAACAGTAACTAAAACAGCTGATGGAGTATACACTAACCTGCGCATTATTCAGACACTAGATGAAGACAAACAGCCAAAAACACAACAGAAACTAAAACAGCTGATGGAGTATACACTAACCTGTGCATTATTCAAACACTAGATGAAGACAAACAGCCAAAAACACAACAGAAACTAAAACAGCTGATGGAGTATACACTAACCTGCGCATTATTCAGACACTAGATGGAGACAAACAGCCAAAAACACAACAGAAACTAAAACAGCTGATGGAGTATACACTAACCTGTGCATTATTCAAACACTAGATGAAGACAAACAGCCAAAAACACAACAGAAACTAAAACAGCTGATGGAGTATACACTAACCTGCGCATTATTCAAACACTAGATGAAGACAAACAGCCAAAAACACAACAGAAACTAAAACAGCTGATGGAGTATACACTAACCTGTGCATTATTCAAACACTAGATGAAGACAAACAGCCAAAAACACAACAGAAACTAAAACAGCTGATGGAGTATACACTAACCTGCGCATTATTCAGACACTAGATGGAGACAAACAGCCAAAAACACAACAGAAACTAAAACAGCTGATGGAGTATACACTAACCTGCGCATTATTCAGACACTAGATGGAGACAAACAGCCAAAAACACAACAGAAACTAAAACAGCTGATGGAGTATACACTAACCTGCGCATTATTCAGACACTAGATGGAGCCAAACAGTCAAAAACAGCAGCTTGATAGACCAGCAGATACATATGAATGTGGACGTGAGTATATAATGTATATTCACTGACGGTCAAGGTGATTCCCAGTTACCAGGATAGCCTGTGTTATTTAGAGGTTGTGGTCTGGGAATTATCCTAAAAAAATCACATCTAAACACAACAGAAGGCTTTGGAGGAGATGTGAATGAAGCTAGTGCTACAACTTTGCTTCATGCCATGGTATTAATTCATTCAAACATCATCAATTTAGCAAAATATTGCCCATTTTCAATGCAAATTTTGTCATTGTCCACTTTTGACTGTTGTGCTTTTTCTTTAAGATGGTGCAGACGGGACTCCAGACCCAGGGGGTGTTGTGAACACCAACGAGGCCTTCTGTACGGTGGTTCAGACGCGTCTGGCTGACCATAAGCTGCTGTTTTCTGGAGAGGTGGACTGCCGCCTGAAAGACCCCGATGCTCCTCCGGCTCCGGGATGTTATGTGGAGCTCAAGACTTCAGCAGAGATCTGCACCCCCAAACAACGCAGCAACTTCCACAGGTGACTGCTGTGCAATGTTTAAGGTTGTTCGCTTTGCTCCGCAGGTCTTTTCCGCCTTCTAGTGTTTATTCTAGCTGAAATAAAACAAATAAGACTTTCTCCAGATGAATAAATATTATAGGAAATACTGTGCAAAGATTCCTGAACCTGTTCAACATCATTTAGGAAATATTTTTACAATTCTTTAATCTTTGCCATGATGACAGTACATAATATATACTAGTATTCAGCTTAAAGTGACATTTAAAGGCTTAATTAGGTTAATCAGGGTAAAGTTAGGGTAATTAGGCAAGTCATTGTATAAATATCAAGAAATAAAATAGAAAAAATATTGCTTAAAACCTTAAATGGTTTTACTTTAAACTGCTTTTACTTCCGGGCCATAGGAAATAATGGGGAAAATTCCTTGCTGTTAAACATCATTTACAGAAAAATTCAGGATGGCAAATAATTTAGGCTTTAACTGTGTGTTTTATATATATTTATTAATATATATATATATATATATATATATATATATATATATATATATATATATATATATATATATATACACCTACACACAGAGGTCCATTTCTCCTGCTGGCGTGACTTTTCCTCCCCTCTCTTTTCCTCTCGGCTGCTACAACGATACTTCTGGATATAGGTCTGCATTCCCGACCCAACCAGATTTCATGTGGCGTGGGAATAAAGTTTCGAAAAGCGTGGGAGCGGTCTGTGTGTGTGTGTGTGTGTGTTTATTTGGTGCTGTCTATGTTTGTGTATGTGTGTGATAGACAGTGTGGTGCTGTGTGTGTGTGCTTATACAGACAGCTTGTTATAGCCACCCCCCAAAATACAACATGTGTATAGAAAGCATTGTCATTGCACTGTGATGCACCGAGATATCGAATTGAACTGAATTGATGTCATGATAATCGTAACTGAACCGTGAGACCAGTATAGGTTCACACCTCTAGTGGAAACGGCAATAAGAGCGTACTGTACCGAACCATACCTTACCGTACACTCAGTGGAAATGGGCCATTA